GGGACCGATCTCGAGGAAGTACACTTTCGAAGCATCGAGCGGTGATGCTGTTGAAAGTAGCAAATTGGAGAAGAAAGAAAAGAAGCATAAGAAGGAGAAGAAAGGAGAGTGTGTTAAGCGTTTAGTGGAGATTGAAGAGCCTGCTGCCGATCATGGCGCTGTCGTTTTAAGACAGGTATTAAAAATTATGCCTTTTTTTCCAGATTAAAGTTAATTATAATTGAGTCTGATTTCTGAGAATTTAGGAATTCCCAAAAAAAAAAAAAAAAGAAAAAAAGAGGAAAAATCTTTTTTTTTTCCCCACAAGATATGGGTCAAAATTGATATTTAAGTATGTCTAGGGTCTGGTTAGGTAGAGTTTGAAGTAGGGAAATTGATGTGTCTCTGAAGGAATAAGTTTTGCTCTGGAGACACATAGGAGAAGTCAAAATGTTTGCGTTCAAGATTCACTAAACATGTGTTGTTTGTGTATGTGATGATAATTTAATAAACATGGCCAATCCAAGCATCATTACTGCTGCTTTATGAGCTCTGGACTTGGTAACTAATCTTTTATTTTTCTCCAAAGGCAGCTGATCTTTTTTGCTGCCTGAACTATGTACCAGGGTTTGTTCTTTGTGATGTAACATGCACATGCTTGTCCTCTTGTTCCCATTTTGCCAAGTGTATATAACTTGGAATACGGTAATGTTGTATTTTTCTATGTTTAATGTTTTCTTCGAATCCAGCTAGTTATTGTTTTGATTTGAATGATTAAAAGATGTTTTATAAGGTGGTTTTGGAATTATTATGACTTAAAATTTCTATTCTTATTCTTGTTGGAATGTTATTTTCTTTTGAGGATCAGTGATTGAATGTGAGTGAATTTGAAATTTGTGGTTTAATAGAGACTCAGTTTAATTGTTTATGATCTTAACTTACATTCTATGTGTATTTTCGATGGATGTAATCATTTTAATGTGCCAAAAAGAATGTTTATTATTAGTTTATTACTCCTTGAAGTTTTTAAATGTGCTGAGACAATGCATTCT